TTGTAATTGTTCATATCACATAACTCACCCAGTAACCTTTTAGAGAGTCAAGTTCCAATTCCAGTTGGGTTTGTTATAATGATTTACATGCAAATACCATTGGGGAAATAAATATATGAATCCACCTCTCCTCCTCCCATTTATGGGTTAATTAGTAGAAGTTGTAACAATATTATCTCCAAAAAATTCTTAAAATCTAAAAATATTTTCTAGATTTAAATAATCTGCAAATGGTTGATAAGCATTAAAAACTAAATCAATTAACCTCTACCTTTCACTATAGTAAAAAAAAAAAATTCAGGTAGAAAATACTTTTTCACATACCATCTACCTCAACATCACCGAAGGCTAAATACACCCCTTCATTGCAACAGTCTTTTATAATAGCAGTGACATGTTTTCCTGCCAAATTTCACAAGTTGTATAGGAATGGTTTCAGGAGCAAGAAAAAGAAGCTTCAGTATATTGATCTGGCCATGTAACTCCCCATGTTTCAATCGCATTGACTACTTGTAGGATGTGTTGGATTGTTTGTCCAACACATCCTACAAGTATCTTCACTATATAGAATCTACACTATGTAACTTGCAACAATTAAAAGAAACTGTTTTTAACATCCAGACACTAAATCTCATAGAAAATCTTTAGGTCTCATAGAGTCTATGTCTGATTGCGTAAGAGCTGTTTTGCAGACATATGGAGGATCAACACCTTATTAGACATGTGATCATAATATTTAGACTCATTTATCTAAAAACTGATGTTAATGAATTGTTTTGAGATGAAATATCTTCATTATTAATTGTTAGCTAGTCTTTTCATAATATTGTTATTTATTTTTAGCCAAACTTTCTCCACTGAATATCCTCTATTAAAATAGGAAGAAATCAGAATAAAAAAGTATCCCTCCAAAGAGAGTAGCATCCCATATACTTGGAGTTTATTTGGAACTTCAGTTTGTCTATGGAAGACTATGACTAGACAAAGCACAAATCTAAAACCATACTGTCACTTTCTAAACCTTTAAAAAGTTGTGATAAAGAAGCAAAAATAAAATGAAGAATAAAGACTGCCTTTGAAATTATGTCTTTTTATCTGGATCTGAACACCAAACACTGGTACTTATGATAAATATACAATTCATCCATAAGGAGGCAACAACATATGATTTCTTACATTGCTCACTATGGCTAGAATTGTGATACAAAATATATGATTGACAGATCTTTGTTTTGGGAAAATCTGTTTCTATGTCAAACTATGAGTGAACAAAAATTTCTATTAATGATGAGTAAAAAGGAAAAAATTGGACTGTATGAAAGATGCCAATCTCATGTGGCAGTTGCATGTCACAAAGATATAAAGTGTTTTCTGGACCCTTTTCCTGATTGAGTAAATAACAAAATAAAAGTATTTGATATCATTCTGAACAAGTTTTCTGTTCATTCTTTTACAAGTTTTGTTTTAAGAGTTGAAATTTTGAAACCCCGATTGCAAAAAAAGAGCAAGAGAGGCTCACAAGAAAAAGCTGGTCTTGTACTAATTTGCATTTTTAAACTATGGGTCATTCCATCTTTGAACTAACAAATGGTCACAAGTGACCCTCTCAGAAAAATCTTGGAAAATTCAGAGGTGTTCCTTGATCAAACTTATTGATAAATCTCAAATATTAGATCTATATGTTGGAGGATCAACACCTTATTAGACAGGTGATCATAATATTTTGGCTCATTTATCTAAAAACTGATGTTAATGATAATCATTTTGATAGTTTTAAAATGAGAGCATCTTGAAATTTCAGTCAATTTTTGTGCTTTGCTAAATAAGACTTTCAACAAAATACATAGCTCCATATACAGATTTGGAACTTAGTGACAATAGTTAATGTTTACTGTAGATTACAAAGCATAAACAACTTAGGAGGGTTTTATGTATTTTTATAAGACCCTAAAAATGGCCAAAATGCAAAAACATGCTGTTCACTTTGAGATCTCATTTACAAAGTATGTCAGATACAGCATCCAAATGAGTTTTTTTTTGTCATTTATAACCTAATAGACTATTTTTGTGTAGTAACCATATTCATTTCTCTTATAGGAATGTCAGTATTACTGTTTGAAAATTGCTCAAATTCCAAGTTAAATAGTCTAACAAAATGGCCACATATTTTGACTTGGTTTTATTTGAGCAGTGAAAGGGTTTTAAACTTGTTTGGTATAACTAAAAAATTATAAAGAAATGAATACCTGAGAATTTGTTGAATGAAGTTGAAAGAATTGAAGATCTCTCATGGGCAGGATGAGGCAAGTTGTAGCTTTCATTGGCTGAGTGTTTGTGTGTCTTAGATGCAGGTGCATTAGGTGGAACTGACATCCCTGAAACAGATGCATGCAATGGGTCACCACCACTTTGAACTTGGTCAGCAGGAAATGTTTCAAACTCTAAAAACAAAAAGTTTACAAAAAAAACATTAATGTGATACAATGGACACCCATGTAGAAAGGGAAGGGGTGGTTTTATATTGATCACGAGTGTTTCTGTTTGATAGACTAGCAGTTGGTTCCTTTTTAAATCTAGTTTTCTAAGCAGCATCCACTTTGACCAAAGGGGAACAGGGAAGTAAAAGAGTGGGTGAGAGGTTTTTGATGATCAAGTGGCAACAAAATCAGAAATAGGGTGTATCCTGGTGATGGTCTATATTAACAGCCATGCTTGGGATCAGAGGTAGTGCTTGACTGCCCATGATGGGAGACAAACTTGTTTGTAATGCCATTCCAATGTCATCCATTTATATTGCCAGTCCCATGGGATGTGACAATGGGCAAGGAGTTGGTATGTTGAAGAGATGACATAGCAGAAGCTACCCCAAGTATCACCTACCTAAGGGACAAACAAGCAAAGCCCTGAATAAAAAAAAACACACCATGTCAAAAATATATTTTTCTCTTGCCACCACTATTACAATACCCTTGATAATTTTTGGTTTTAAAAAGCTATTTTTAGAATTTTATTAAAGTCCAGAACATATGAAATTGAATTTAAAAATGTGAACTATAGAATAAGAATATTTAAACAAACACAATACAATGAATAACTTTAATTATTAATTTTGAAAAAAGAAATGCATTTACTGGACATTTTTTTCATTTACTCTTGCCACATAAGTTCACTAAAACAAATTAAAAGCATCTGAATATTTTTTCTTGAGAAGTAACAACAAAATGTTAAACACTATTTAGTTATTAAATAACCAAAATATTCATGTAAATAAAAAAAACTTTAACAGAAAGAGTATCGAGTAATAATGGTGTCAAGAGGAAATCCATTCTTTTGACCCACCATTGTTTTTTTAAGGTACATTTGTTAAAACTTTGCCCAAAACAAAAAATAAAAATTATCAGTAGAAAGCTGAAAGCATGAACAATTAGAAAAGATCAGTTGTGTAAGTTTCTTTTAATTTAAATAAATTTCAGTATAATTTATCAGTTATATTCTTCCCAACAAAAATAATTCTAATGTATTTTCAAATTAAAAGTGCTGATCAGAAATTAATTTTTTAACAATCACAGTGATTACTTACGGAAATTTGGCTGTTGGTAAAATATATAATCTGCTCCATTATGTCCATTATCAAAGTCTGGCAATTTCATCAGGTTATCCAGAATTTTATCAATCTTCACTTTCAGGGTGGCTGTTGTATCCATACGAAAGTGGGTCAAAAAGTCAACTCCACCCACATCTCGAAGGATTTCAGCAGCAGCCGAATGCTAAATAAATTGAATAAAAGTTTATTGAAAGACATGAAAGAAACTTACTTGTTCATACTTTTTAAACAAGTTTTGACAACTACTGACCAATAAGTCTTTCATATTGTTTTTTTTTTTAATTTAACTTGTTGAACCTTGGAACCTCATTACCTCTGGGTATTTTAGGCAAATTTCTTTATTTCAGAACTGTCTGTGAAACAGTGCAAACCAGAAGTGGAAAGCAGCAAATGGCCAGTACAAAGTTGCTCAAATGAAGTGCTTTATTCTACTTACATGTTAGGCTGTGTTTTTGGTATACCAGTCTTGTAAGCAGAAGAACCTTATTTTACACAAAGATAATGGAGGCAATATCTACATCTGACGATTTGATCACTGCCTCAATCCATTTTCTTACAAACATGTAGATTTCTGGAATAAGAAGCTATTATTTACATTCAGACTTATATCCTTATCATTGCAGTTATCATCACAATCTTTCAGCTGCTGTGTTCTTTGACCTTCTTTCGGTATGTGCTGACCCAGGTCACTTTTAGGGAATTTCAAACTGAACCCTTTATTTAATCTACAGGTTAGATCAGGGTTTCCCAAATTGGGTGATACTACCCACTGATAGATAATTTCAACTGTTGAGTGGGAAATGAGCAAGTGAACAGAAAATGGTGGGCAATTAGGAGTATTAAAAAGCTATTTTAATATATGCTACTTGAAAAATAATATTCAAAGTAGATATGCAAAAAACCTGTATAAAAAAATTAAAACAAAATAGGAACTGAAATGAGAATAACTGGGTCACATTCCAAGATGAGATTAAAATATCCCCACAAACAGGAAATATTTTTATTTTGGCATTTTCTATATAGTTTTCAAGGGTCAAGTTTGCTTTTGTTTGTTCTATAACACAGTAGTAGTAGCAGAAGCAGCCATTGCATAAATCAGTATTATTTGTTACTTCCCTTTGGTATTTTTTACTACATCATATAATCAGTTTATGAAAAAGTAAACTTTCAGCAAATAATTTCAGTATGCTTTTTAATATTTACTATACAGGTGAGCAGTGGAAAATTTTTCCATGTGAAAATAGGCAATGACGCAAAAAAAGGTTTGGAACATCTGGGTCAAATTATTCTCATTCAGTTGTGCATGTTTTTTTTTTTACTAATGTTTATCCAATACAAGGCACAAGAACTACTCAAGATAAAGACTTATTGTGTGGTGTTGTATGAGTGTAAGAAAAAGCAAGAAGTGCGGTTCATGAGGTTATGCAGGAAAAATAATAATTAATCCTAGACTTGAAGAGGCCAAGATTGTAATGATCAAGAAAACATCATGCCACAAGTGTGTTCCACAAAGCAGCAGTACTTGGGAAGAAGCTGTCTGAATGGAACTTATTTCTTATTAATGGAATAAGAAGGAAATGAGGATGATTCACTCTTATGCATGCGGCATGGTAGGTTCCAGCTGCAAAGGTCAGGACTTGTGGAACCAGGGACTGTAACTCATCAGAATACTTATGTAAATAGTGATAAGAGTAGCAAAAGGTCTGTGACATTTTGTTTGTGGGTAAGGAGTTGTTGGGGATTTTTGTTAGTTCTGCTCACTTATTGCTACCTCTGTTTTTTCTCTGAGTCTGTACTACTCAGCCCAGGAATTAAACTTGCAATTACTAAGCCATTAAATTCACAAACCAATGCTTTAATTCACTTGTCTTGTGGGACAATTCTGAATAATGACAACAATAAAGAAAGATGAAGACATTAATTGTGAATGATGTAAATAAGACACCAAAACTAGAATTATTTGTAGAAATGTGTAAACAAAGAGAGTATTTCTAAAAGTCTGAAGCAGTACTTGAATATTTTCAAGCTTTTTCTCAGACTCTAAAGTTAATGTACATATATTGACTGAACAGAACATGGTAACAGTAAATCAGTATGATGGGTTCAAGTGTCCAATCTATACATAATAGGATTGGTTAAAATGTTGATTCTTTAACAATTATACAGAGAAAAAATAATTAGAAAAAACAAGATTCTAGAAATTAAACCTCATAAAATTTGTATTTGGTTTTCCTCACACAAAACAAGCAGCCAAAGACACATTACACACATTGAATAAATGCAAGTCATTTTGATTATACAAGGGTGTTGTAGCCTACCTACAGACTATAATGGGTATGTCCCCATTCACATAAATACAGTAGTAAACACTGTATGTTAGTCTGCAGTTGGAGATTCATTGTGGAATTCACTTGACTCACTTCTAGCAGTTGACTACTACTTCAACATGCTGCAGGTGAAATATATGTGTCGTTCTTGTCCTAAGTATTGTCGTTCATTACCAACCTTCATTTGATTATTCTATTCAGTAACCTTCCCTAGGTTACAACAAAGGGACTACCCAACAAAAAAAATTCAGAGAACTTAAGGCATGAAATAGTTTTCTGAAAGAAAGAATTACAGAGAATGAGGTTCTTAAATTTCTTGGGGGCGTGATTTCAAAGAGGGTGAAATACCTGCAAAGATGGGTGGGGATGCTAGTTAACTTGACAAATATATAAGCAGATATATATATATATATATATATATATATATATATATATATATATATATATATAGATATACATGAAAGTAAGTCTGAAGCCTAATGATGAAAAATAAAAAAAAAATTGCACAACAAATATTTATCACCATAATCTTTTTTCTCATGTTAATTCAATAATTAAAATTTATCAAACAGATTGATCATTATGCAGTGAAGATTTCAGAACATTCATATGTTAAGCTATAGATTTGTTCTTCTAGCAAATATGTTAGTTCTAATCCTAGCTGGGAAGGTTTGCAAAATTCTTCCCTCTCCCCAGCTTATAGGCAGAACCACACCAATGCAAGCTGGCTGGGATTGCTTCCTCACCAATAAGATGGGCTGCTTCTCAGTCTCATCTGACTCAGCCCAGATCTGGTGTTTCAGGCATTTTGGACTGACTTGTTGAACTCTCTGCCTTTGGGCAGAGAGGAACCCAGACGAGGCTATGCCAAAGGGCAGAGTCACGTCTGGAAAAGTAGACAAGCCAAACCCTGCGTATACGAAGTCTATGGGGAATTTTTTCCCCAAGCCTATGGGCTTAGATTTGTCCCACATAAAAAACGGCCTTGTGCCACATCCTGCTTTGTTGGGAGGTGAGGTGAATAATGTCAGTCCTGATCAGTCATTTTGGAGCAAGAACACTAAATTCGTTTATCTGAATTTGTTCTCATGTGTCAACTCCAGTTCTTAGTTTGTGACCTTTTTGCCTTATTACTGTTGTTTTGTCTTGCATATATTATTTGCTTGCTCAATATTATTTCATACCTTGTTATTTTCTTTTCTTGTTTATTACAAACTTTGTCAATTCTATTTGTTGAGCAGTTCTGCCATTTACATTTAAGCATAACCACTTACTCAACAAATTAAATATCTTGAAATGTCTTTTTTTTTTTGTTAATCCTATCAATACAAAAATACTAGCTTGAAAGAATCATCCCAAGTGGAATGTAACTGTATATGCATTAATATTTTTTTTTAATCATTTCACCCCAAGCAAGGTAATAAAACCACTAAGACACAAGGGGTTATGGATGTTACAAAATGAGAAAAAAAGGGAGAGAACAATAAAAGAACGGGAATTAAGAAAATAGAAGCTAATGATTGACATTGCATTTAATTTTTTGAAGATCAAAATTGAAGAGAGTTCCACAAGTGAAAAATGCGATAGAAGAAACAATTAGCATAGAATTTACAGTTACATCTAGCCATTTCAACTGCAAAATGATGAGACCTTGCCACCAATCTAGTTCTGTGTTTAAATCAATAAAGTCTAGGTACCATAGAGGAAAGTTCATCAGAACAATTACCATGAACGTATTTATAGAAAAGGCAAAGGTAAGCTACATTATGGTGGTGGGAAAGTGTCTGAAGCCAAAAAATCAGGGCCGATAACATTTCAATTTATTTTTTGGATTTTATCAATTTCTAAATATATATCAGGAGCACCAGACCAGATGTAGTAGCAATATTCAAAACATGGACAATGGTAGACTTTAATATCATAAATGAATGTGTTTTTCATACTTTTACCAAGATTACAAGTATAGTTCAAAGTGTTTTCTTCAGAGATGGACTGTACATAGTGGGTTGGTTGGTTGAATTTGTTTAGTAGCATATCAACCCCTATGGGTTATTTAATGCCAAAATTTAATTATTTTGTACATAATTTTATACTTTCAGTGTAAAGATATTTTCTTAGATGTATACTTTGTAGATGATAAAATGTATTGTAGATAATTTTTTATAAAAATTTATTGCTGGCAATTTCACTGCAAAAATGCATTGCTGATAATTTTTATAAAAATGTATTGTTGGTAATTTTAGTATAAAAATGTACATAAATGTATTGTTGATTTTTACTTAGGGGTTCATTATTTTCCTATAGCTGGGAAAATAACAGGTGCTACCACCCCAGGTCTGCGAAGAACAGCAGTTAAAAGGTGGTTCTAAACTCCTCAAAACCTACAATTTCCCAATCAGATGGCTTGCTACTAGATGTAGTTATCATCATACCCAAGACGCTGTGCATCATGGGAAGAAATTAAATGATTATAAAATTGACTAATATATTCTTACGACTATAAAATTAAGATAAAACATTTTTTGTAAATGGAGCTCTATTTCAAAACTGAAATTTCCAACAAAATAAATATTTTTTTAAAAATTTTATTTCTTCTCATTTAGAATCATCCTTCTTAGAAAAAAATTGGGACAACGTTTGCTATCTTGGTAGGTATTTTTAAGTATGCCACTCCAAAAGATTTCGGCATATTACTGAATTATCTCCCTTACATTTTATATTTTTATGAGTCTCACATTCTGAACGCTCCTTTGGAGTCAAAGTCATGTACCTGAAATGACAGAAAATAAAGTGAAAAATTGCATCCTGAATGCAATATAATTTATTCTTATTATAACAACTGATGGCTCTCCTTAAAAGAAAAAAAAAATCCGCTGATATTATTGGTTTTTCAAATTCTACCCAGGTCTGCAAGAAATCCAACTTTTTCTTCATTAAATTTTTCTTGTTTCCTTTAATAATTTATTTTGTATTATATCAGATTTATAATTTTTCAATTCAAAAATAGGATTCAGAATATGAAGTTAGTTTAAAAAAATTAAGGGAAATATAATAGGGGAGGTAATTCAATCATTGTTAGCCAGAAAACTTGGTAGATTTACGAACACTAAATTTGGTAAAAATATAACCACACATTTATTTGTGACATCAAAAAATGTGTCACCACTTGGGACCATTATTTCAAATAAAAACTGATATGACATTGAGAGCATGAAGTAGTGAGAAGGTTAAACAAAAAAACATGTCTTTTAAACACATAACACAATTTTAACATTATTTACATTCAGACAATTGTCCTCATCTTTGTTGTTATATCAACATTTTGGTTATTGTACTTTCCAACCTTCTTCAAGTGCCTGTTAATCCAGATAACCTTCAGGGAATTCCAAACTGAACCCTTTATCTAATCTACAGGGGAGGACTGCTCTTGTTCCTCTGACCAAATCTAGGGATATCTAGTTTTGTTCTTGTACTGCTCAGTTATTGCTCACCCTGTTTACAATGAGTGTCTTCACTATCCTGCCCAGAGATTGAACTCTCAATTAGTATATCATCAAATTCATGAACCAATGCTGTAATCCATTAAGCTATTGCCCTGTGGAACAATCCTGAAGAAAGAAAACAATAATAAAAGCAAAGATGAGTATATTAGTTCAAATGTAAATAATGATAACTACTCATCACAGAAATTCAGATAGAAGGCAGTCAGGTGATAGTAACAACAAAGATGAGGACAATAGTCTGCAATATAAATAATATAAATAATAATAACTACTCATCCCAGAAATTCAGACAGTAATTTTAGCATGTTGTTGATGCAGGCAATTTCCCTAATACACAGTTGTGATTAAAAATGGCAGATCATGCACAGAAATATAAGCTAAATATAAGACAGAAATCAACAAGCCTGAATAATTCAGGAAAAAAAAGAACTTTAATAGGACATAATCCATAACATTAGACCAGATTTTAAAAGGAACAAAAATGATCTTTTGCAATGAATAACACATTCAGTAAAAGAGTAAAAAGTTTGTTGTTTTTGGTTAGTAGCATATCGATCTCTGTCAAAATCTAAATATGTTGTAGTAAATTTTTTTTATTTTATCTTTGGATATAATAATGGTTATATGATACAAGTCTTACTAATTAACCCGTAGTTGGATAAGAGATAGAGTCATATGTTTCCCAAGGGAATTTGCACATAAGTGAATATAATGAACACTAATGGAATTGGGACTCAGCTCACCAATTAAATATTCTAAGCCATTATCCATTACACCACCTGCACATCTAAGCTTACAGTACCGGGTATTCTTAAGCAGTCACCCATCTAGGTACTGACCAATCTCAGCATTGCTTAACTTTGATCATCATACGTGAACTGGTGTTTCAACATAATGTGGCTGTAAGCCGGAAGAATGGGTACAGACAGACATAAGAAGTAATGATTATAAGGGTGACAAAAATTCTCAAATAGGTAAGAAGTTCAAAAAATATCTCCAAGATAAATATGGGTTTTAAAACTCACTTGGAGATATTTTAATAACTTGTTCTTTAAAATGAACATGCTATTTTGGTAATATAAAGCAAAGTAAATCCTTCAAATTTTTTTTTTCTTTTTTAGTTTACCTGTGACAATTGATACATAAGATCAATGACCTCTGATTGTTTTGGAGCATTTGGAAAATTGAACCATTCCAGGAGACGGATGAGAAAATGCTTCTCTTGGATAAGGTCATGTAGAGACACCAATTTATGGTCGAGTTTGCTGAGTATGTTCGTTAGAGCCCGCACTCGGATTTCTTCCAGTTGGTGCCCTTAAAAAAAATATACATACAAATTAGTTAACATATAAAGAAAATTTTCATTTTTTTTTTTCACCTTATTTCATATTTCAGTAATACTTTTCTTAAAGATTTTAACAGTATTTTAAACATTTTGGAGCACTGAAGATAAATATGGTAGCATTTTTAAGAACAAAATTATATAACTAAAAAGTTGTAGTTCAATATACATGGCATAATCCATCATGTTCTGGTTACAAATAAGGATAATATAGTGTAAACAGATAATCTCAGATTATGATTTAAACACTTTTTAATCCAATCTTATGAAAATTTACAACAAAAGGAAAATGTTATACATGTCAAGAACTGAAGAATGTTGTTACTGCTTTTATATGCCACGCCCTTTCAGTACCTGAGTGATTATGACTGTCCATAAACTTCCTGTCTTTTTTTGCTCTAAGCAAAATCTGACTACCATCCCTCATTGTTCTTGTTCTGACAGACATTCACCAAAACTCATTAGGTAAGTTACCTGCTGTTTCCCTCTGCCCCACCTTTGCTACTTCATATGTGCTGTGTCCTTTCAGAACTTGGACAATCATGGCTCTTTACAACTTCCTCTGCTTTTTAACTCTAGTCCCTGTTCTGCCATCCATTTACACAAGCAAATTATGGTAGAACAGAGCTTAGGAGATATAACAAAGTCAAAATTTATGAAAACCTACAAAAGACAGTAAATTGTAGAAAGCCATGATTGCCGATGTTCTGAAGGGAAACAGCACATAGTTTCTCCCTACACATCTTATTTTTAATATATCCTGTGAGTAGCAAATTCTCCAAGCCTACTTTTGTCATTATATATCCCAGAAATTTCAATTTTCTTTTTCTAAGTATAACAGATGACAGAAAATGTGACACTGAAATTCAAAGGCAAACAGCAAAAAATGCTCTCCAAAAGTTAAACAAAATATTAAGAAGCAGGAAAATTTTGTTAGAAACAAAGAAAAGATTGCTGAATTGCTATGTGATAACACTCCTCCAATATGATAGTGAATGCTGGACAATTTCCTCACAGATGACGAGGAGACTTGAGGCAACAAAAATGTGGTTCTACAGAAGGATGTTGAGAATACTATGGCCAGAAAATGTAAGCAAAGGGAGTTTTAAGGGAAATGGAAACAAAAAGGATACTTAGAATCAAATAGATAGTTGAAATTTCTAGAACACATAATGAGGAAAGAAATGTTAGAAAATTTGACACTCACAAGACATACTGAAAGCACTTTGACATCATGTAATGGTTAGTAAGCTTGTTTTGCTAGATCAATTATGACTGATTAATGAGTTTGATCCCCACTAGGCACTCCATAATTTCAGACGTGCCACATCTAAGCTACACTTAGAAAATTATTTTGGGGCATCTTAATGTGGCATAATGGTTAGCAAGTTTGTCTCACTAAAACAAATCTGACTGAGTAGTGAGTTTAATCCTCACTGAGTACTTCATACGTTCGGCTTTGTGCCACATCTAAGCTTAGAAAATCATCATACTGAAGGCAAGAGAGAGATGGAAACAGTAAATTTGTGTTAATGTATGGGTGAATAACGAATAGGAGGGATAATAAAGACAAACATTACTAAGAGCTACAAGGGATAGGAAGTTGTGGAGAGCTATGATCGCCTACATCCTGAAGAGATACTGAACATAGTAAGTAGCTCATTTTCTTTTCCATTTCAGCAAAATGTTTTTCTAGTTGCTTTAAAAAAGTTTTAACTTTTAATTAATTTTTTATCTTTGATTTTTTGATACATGCTGCTTGTTTAATTATTCTATAATGTAAAATAATCATAAAAAATTATAAAATAAATTTAAAAGTAAAACTAGTCCGGTCAAAAATTCATAATACTCAATGAAAAATTCAGAAGCAACTTGAACACTATGTCCTGTCAACTATTGAACAACATGGCGTTGAGAAAAATTCCGCAAATGAAGAATTTGATGAAATTTGAACAACATCTGTTTGTTAGCTTTCGTGTGTAGCTTAATTTAAGCTAAACACGAAAGCTAAGAAACAATAATACCGGTTCAAATCTTCGAATTTCTTTCTGATTTGTGTTGCAAGTTCCCAAAAGTAAAAACCGGAACGAAAATAATTTTTTTCATTAATTATTTTAGTTAAATTATTAATAATGAAAAAAATTATTTTTTTAATTTTTCTTATTACTTACAAATTTTAATTAATAAAAAAAATTAATAATGAGAATTTTTCATCTAAGAAATTCGGACAATAATTATTTATTACTATTAATCACCTAAGGCTGGTTTTAGGGTTTTTTTTTTTTTTTTTTTTTTTATTGGTGGTATCTGACTGTCTGGATGCATTTTTAAAAGAGTTATTTTATTTTTATTCATACATAGACTAAAAAAAATATCCACCCTGAAATCGTATTTATTTATGGAAATTACTTGAAATTTTATTAAATTAGCAATGACTTACTTCAACTCTAGCAATGGTAAACATTGCTACAGTTGAAGTAAGTCAACATAAAGGTAACTGTAAAATCTCAAACTAAAGTTAAGCTCGTACCAAATTAAAAAGGTTAAGAAGATTCAGTTCTGTTTGGCAAACGAAACTAGTGCATTTTTGTAGGAAAATATATTTTCTTATTGTCATGTGCTTTGAATACAAAATACGGGTAGAAATGATGAAGGTCATAAACTCAAAGCAGATCTAACGATATAAAAATAATAATAATAATAATAATAATAAAAAAAGATGTATCAAACGTTGAATTTAAAACCGATTTAAAAATTTTAGAGGGCTTTAAAAATTCACAACAAAAAATGCAATATTTTATTTTCATAGCGAACTTTCTTACCTATTTATTTTTATTATTGCATAACCGACAGAGTCAGTAAAAAAAAATATATATCAAATAATAAAGTATATAGCCATTCAAATTAATTACTGAAAGTGAAGGAATTTATTCATAAATGGTGTGTGGGGGGCATATTATGAATTAAATTTTAAATAAATCGTTAATAAATAAAACAAAAAATCTGACTTTCCGACGAAATACAGTTCAATGAAAAATCCAAAGTTGACAGGGTTTTTTTCCCCCTTAAGACTAAGTAAGAAGAGTATTTTTACTAAAAACAAAACAAAGTACAATGAAAACTAATAATGTATCATGCTTTTTAGTTTATTGCAAAAAAGAAAAAAAAACTTCAACCATGCAACTGATAATTTTGATAAAATAGCGATTTTTTTTTTGTTTTTAAATCCATCTTGTCTACAAGAGAAATGGAAATCTACATTTTCAAAAAAATAATACAACATTAAAAAAATGCCCAAAAATGTTTTTAAAATTAATTTTTACCATAAAAGAAAGAAAACTGTGTAGGATTTACAAGGAGCAGATTTGATATAAATGTGTGGGCGTTAGAAAACAAATGCAACATTTAAATTAGTTTTTTCTTTCTTAAAAAAATGCCGACTGCAATTTAGCAATGTTGATTCTTCTTGCAATGTAAGTCTTTAAAAAGCTGATGTCTGTGTATTTTTTTGTCTCTACAACAGAAAATATTTGTAAGTTATACATTGACTACTAGTTTCACCTTTTTCTACAGACTTACCAAGTTTTTCAAATATCCTAGCTAGGTTTACATCGTCCCTAAGTGATGTCGACATGTTCAGTCATAGCGAACGTGCGCCAAAAATTGGAGCTGTCTCAACATGCTTCAAAACATCCGCCATAGATACAAACATTAAAGAATTCATAATGCAAGGGGGATAACTCTAGCTGCAATTCATAATTCTGTAACCAGGGAAATTAGTCATTGTTAGTTTCAATAATTAGAGCATTTCAAATTTAAATTTTTAACTTTAACCATCACTTTGATGGATGAGAAATTATAACCGAAATATTAGCTATAGGTTCTAGTTGTTTTTGCTATTTCAAAAGTTATCCTTTTAGACCAAAAAACAATGGTTTGTAATCCTTTATCTGTTGTTCTATCACTATCAGAAACTATGCTGACCCATATTTTTTGGTATCACTAATTAATTACTTTTTTGACCTGCAATCAAATTTGACAGATGTAAAAAATATATATGATGCTTATTGGTTTAAAAACACTACTTTCCATTTAGAAATTTGCTTTGAGCCCATAAGTGGTTTGATTGATTGATTTGTTTTTTTACAACTTTTTAAAGTGCACTATAAAGTCAAACTCAAAATATTTTAAGTAAGTGGTGACAGGGAGGTAGTTAGTTGCTACATAATGAAAACAAAGTGTTATTGCATTTATTACATCTTTAATCTGTTAATTTCTTCACGTTTATATTATTTGTAACTTTCATGCTTACAAGTACATTACAAAAAAAAATTAACGTTGAAAATTCACCATAAAATCCACAATTTAGGTATACTGTCAGATGTCAAAGTCAATTACTGACCATAGGATTCTTTCCTCCAGCATATACTCACCGTATAAGTAACCAGGTCTCATCGTTTTACTGTTGAAATAGCGAGATGTAACCATAAGTTCTATTCTAATAGTTTCTTTTCTTCCCAACTACAATCTTCACTCTTCAGTCAGCATCATATTCTGTTTTCCTTAACCCTGTCCTTTTATTGTCCTTTCTCCTCACTAAAGTCTTCTCATTCTCTTTTAATCTCAGTAACCCCTTATATCTTAGTGACATTATTGCTTTGCTTGGGGTGAAATGGTTAAAAAAAAATTTTGTTGGTATCCATCTACCCAGGTTTTTTGTTGCTATCTGCATGTCAGGATTTCAAACTGTCGCGGCCGCCTTTGGCCGCTCCCTAATGCAGAAGAGAACAGGATCGGAACGTCTGTATCTCAACTCCAACCGACGAAACGACCAATCCAACCTTCGACACGACCAGTCCGACCACCATTACCATGATTGGCAGACCAATATACCCACTGTCGCCTCTTTATATAATAAACTTAGCATTAATCATACATATCCTCGTTCTGTTGTCCATTTTGTTTCACCTTGTCAGATTTAACGTCTTCGATACGAAAAAAGTTATCGGGCCTCTTGCGACATCATCACTTATGATACGGGGGCTCTCGGGCGGTGGTTTCATATCGCGCCCCCTCCAGGGGGTCCGCTATAAAACAGCAAAATCAACATATGAAGCATAAAGACGTTATTTTCTGAAGGAAAAGTAGAAGCAGAGCATCAGTTGAAATAACATTTATATATTCTTTTCAGAGATATATAATGACAATATAAAGTGTTTAATTTTTGTTGTGTTTAATTTTTGTTTTATCAAGTAATTAACTGTTCTTAGTGCTCAGTTAACAACAACATTTAACAACAACAACAACAACAACAACACATGAAACATAAAAACGTTATTTTCTGAAGGAAAAATAGAAGCAGAACATCAGTTGAAATAACATTTATATATTCTTTTCAGAGATATGCAATTACAATAAAATGTTCAGTCTCCCCTGAAGTTTGTTTTATAAAATAAGTGTTCTTCGTGTGATGTGAAATGTGTGGATGGACTTATTTTATGAGAGCCAGCCTAACATATTTGTGAGTTTGTAGACAAAGGCTTAGTTGGCAGATGCTGGTTAATCCCTTCTATTGTGTGCATGAACAAGGCCTCAGTTGGCGGCTACTGTATGTCGTCTCTACCATTGTGTGTGTGTGTGTGTGTGTGTGTGCACGCATAAACTGGCCTCCAAAGTTTTTTTGAGCCCCAAGAAGCAGTATGCTTCTATTTTTATATCCATAAGGAAAATCCCAAATCTAACTTCACATAGAGGTGTAAAGTTTTCGAATACCAGGTTTTTTTTTATTAGAAAATAATTTCATACTGGTTGACAAAAATGTATTTCTCAAATTTGCATGAGTTGTGAAAGAAGTTATTTTCTAAATGGTCCAAAAATAACACATGGTAGGTTTACAACTACGTCTGCAAGTTTTTTGACAGTATTTGCTCATGTAATGATTGTTTATCAAACAAACCTACTGATGGGATTTTATTGGTTGAAAAATATGTATATATAGGATTTAATTCCTATAAGTTGGAGTTGACATCTGAAGTATTGGTTTGTCAAAAAATGAGTGGTAATGAAGATTTATACAGAAAGAATTACTTTCAGGTAGACAAACTGATCAATCCATGACACCTGCTATAACAGGTAGGACATGTAGAAATGTCATCAAAAGTGTTACTGAGCTTATGCAGAGCTGGACTGATAGTTTCGGATTCTATTGCCAGTTGATTGTTGAATAATCTTTGTTACTATGGTTATGAATAATTAATAAATACTTATTCTATGTGCCATGTTACTTCAGGATGTAAGTGATCATGGCTCTCCACAACTTACTAAGGGCTACAACGTTGATGGGTCAACACAATAGCAGTAGCATCCGTTTGTTACAGAATGATTGTCTTTTCTGGAAAACCTACAGAATTATGTACTACCTTGTAGAATTATAATTGGAGTGAATTATCTTCATACTATTAAGGAAAACTTGATCTGGTTGCGTGTTTGTTTCAGATAAACATTTTCAAATTTATTCAATTTTAAGTTTTCGTATGTCGTCCTAGAATTCTTTACAGGTCATGGGGTATCTCAGAATCCATCGTTTTCTTTTCTCAACACACTTCTGAAAGTTGATAGCTCTACTCTCCCTGACTATTCACTCCCGAGCCGAACTGCGATGGATAGTGATTAAAGTGGTCGACCGCGTTCCTTATGAGTGTTCCGACCAGTTCACTGTTACTTTACAAAATTATCTCAGGTTTCAAACTCTGCCTTTTCTGAAAATAATTTTGAGAAGTTTTTTTTTTTATTCTTAAGCCGTTTCTCCCCAAATACCTTCCGTTTTTTATTACTTTGAACCAGACATTATATCACCTCAACCCGTCTTTTTACGCACATCTGTACATAGTTTTTTTTAAATTTAAACTCAAATATTCGAAAAGAACATTCATTTCATTCCAAACTTTTCCCTATAAACCCACTTTAGATTACACATACTTAATTTCCGTTTTGTTGTATCACAGTCATCTTGTTTTGTATAATCTCACTTGTTGACTATTGTGGCATGTAGGGGCATCCTTACTCTGTTCGATTCAGCAGTAGCAGCAACGGAATTAATCAGCAAGGAACAACAGGAAGTCCTAGAACTCATAAAAATACCGACTGAGCCCTATTAGGCCCCTTTTCCCACTTTTCTTTTTCAGCGACCACTACCTTTAAGGTCAGCTCAAACAAAAATGTCGCAACACTTGCTGCAGAAGACATGCGGCAGTGCTGACAGCTTGAAACAGATTTCTCATTCTACGTGAGAACAAGTGGAGAAATCTTCCTTTGAGACACCTACCCAAAGGAAAAACTACTCACAACCCTTGCTGTAGAAGACCCGTACCAGATCTGGCAGCTCTGACACAGAGATTTCTCATTCCTCGTGGGAACAAGCGGAGAAATCTCTCTATACGAAACATCTACTCAAAGGAAGAACTCTGTTAACTGGGAAACCCAACATTTTTTTCGCAAAATATCACTATTTTGTATTATCTTTTAACCATGAATGATAAACTATAATAAAACAGTTATTTCAAGCCTTGGGTTTATTCATTCCACTCTGTACACTGCCAAACGCACGCACACACACACACACCGGAGCAGGAAAATCCTTACATTTGAACCATACGTATAAATTATCATTATTATTCTATTAATCCATGTATGTAATGAATTAATTTATTTTGAAGTGATTAAAATATTCTACTGAATTTTGTTAGGGGACTCACGGTTAATTTAAACGAGTCTACACAATTGTGTTCTGAATTAGTACTTACCATTTTAACAGTGTGGATTATTATTTCATAAATTTATTGATTTGATAATGTCGAAGACTAAATTAGAATGTAATTTGGGCTTTTCTATTAGTGGCAATCGTTTGAATTTAAGCCATGTTCATGCTATTGTTGCCAGAAACAGCTTAAGATTCGCATTTTCAATTCTAGCTATATATGCAACTGATGGACTTTTTGTTAATGTCTCAAAAACTAAATGTATGGCAATTAACAATAATAACCAACCTCACCATATTGTCAGAATTACCTACATGTAATCTTCTAAGACGTTCGTTAGGTGGCGCTGTTTCAAGACTATAAATTTTATAAAAGAATTTGTCTCAACACAAGACTTGTGCCGCTGGTGAAAAATTCTTTCTTCCAAGGTGTGTGTGTGGGAGGGATTACAATATTTAACTCATACGCACACGCACACACACACACACACACACACACACACACACACACACACATACACACATATGCATATATATTTTTTCTATTAACAATAATGTTCTTTTTTCTTCTCTGCTATTTTTGTATGCACAAGTATATTTTTTCTCTTTTGTACCGGGACCCTTCAGGAGGTTGTCAGTCATAGCTCTCCACAATTTCTTGTCCCTTGTTAAGTATAAATATCTGTGGTTCGTTGAGCTGGAGAGTAATTCTTGGTATTTTATTTTATCAGAAACATAGGACATAAAAGGACGGGTATAAAATAAATAATATCTTCTTCTGGGTGCCGTGCCCCATTAAGGCGTCGGTGATCATGGCTCTCCACAATTTCCTCTCTCTTGTAGCTCTTAATAACTTTTGTCTTTTTGCCCTCCTTTCC